GGATGACCAGATGCTTGTATTATCACAAATTATTATTCCATATGTTCTATCAAGCAAGATGCTGATAAGTAAAAGATGAACGTAAAAGCAAATAATAAGATAGCTTGCCAGTCAAGGCAATATATGCACACTATCATTTTTAATTTTGATTGAAAATATTCCTAGAACAAGGGCAATAACTCATACTAAGAAATTTTTGATTTTTCTGATGTTCAATAGGGTTCATCATTGCTTGATAACAATCACATCAAGTTTCGTCAAAATCCACCAAGAATGTGCCTTTTAGAGTGTTTATGTCTAAAAATTGAAAGCATTTTCAAAAAGAAGGGCAATAATTCAAACTTATTATTGTTTGATTTTTCTTATTTTCAATAGGGTTCATCCCTGGGTGATTATAAACACTCACACCAAGTTTCGTCAAAATGTGTTAAGGATTGTGCTTTCTAGAGTGTTTACGAGCTAAAAATTGAACGCGTTTTTCAAGAACAAAGGCAATAACTCATACTAAATATTTTTCGATTCTTTTGATTTCAATGGGGATCATCCTTAAATAATAACAAACATTCACATCAAATTTAAACAAAATCTTTCAAGAATTGTGCCTCTTGGAGTGTTTACGAGCAATTGTGGACGGACAGACGGACGGGTGACGGACATGGGTGACGCCAATATACGACCCCATTTCACGTGGACGTATATAAATTGGTACAGCGGAATATCGACCAACACACCAACAAATTTGAGTAATATGAGAATTTTAATACGACTATTAAATTTATAATGTTGTGGAACACTGACACTTGCGACCGTAACCATTATTTATAATTTTCAAGTTGTTTCAATTTGTTGGTATGTACTTTGGACAAATGCATGTTTTCATTAATTGGCCAACTTATTACGATATATGAAATGTAAGATTTTTTGGACAATGAGATCAAGTCAATCAGATGGTTGATGATGTCGACCGTGAATAATGTCTCTAATTTTCTATGAAATATAGTTAGATATATCTTAGTGAGTGAGTGGCTGTGCCTCAAAGCGTTAATCTTGCGGTCAAATCAAGGTCTTGATGTAAGCCGTACTTCACAACTGCAGGATTGATCACCTAATCCATATTAATGAACATTATTTCAAGCCGGAGGTTCCGCGAAACCATTAAACAAAACATAAGATGACCGTTTTCGTAAAGAAGACTCTTAATTAAAATCCCATTTTAAAATGAAATAAATACGCACCTGATTGGGCTAATGGAGACGGACAACTCCATGAAGTGTGCCATGAGAGTGGCATTGGCATACTCTTTTTCGATTTTAACGAGGAATCTTTAACTTGCACAGCCTGTAGTGTGCGGGTGTATTGTCCCAACCAAACCATGTCAGCTCCTCCAACCTGCATCACTGACAAGGAGACACCGGGTTAGCGAGCAAGCGTCTAACTCACTGAGTCATTGCAACTCCCTTGCTGGAAGTATCAACGTATGGTATTTTCTTATCTTGGAATTTTAATATATTCTATTAGGATTTTTCTTCGCTTTAACTCAAGTTAACAGATTGAAGTAACATAACAAGGGTCAGTCTGTTGCCATACACAAACCATTGCTTAGTCATAGTATTCCTTAAATTTTCTCGAAATATTCTTTAACTGTTGTGCCATTTAAGATCAATTTAAAAGTAGATTGCAACTGAAATATAAGTTAATTTGATATTTTACGCATTGACATGGGGCATCTCATGAAATTAATATCTTTACAAATACATATGATATAATCATTATTTATATTTATATATTCTAAAAAGGATAATCATGTATTCAAAAAATATTCACCCCATTATGGTGATAAGAACGCAATCGATCCTTCCCATGAAAGATGTTATTACTTGAACCATTACTCTGTATCTGGAGAATATTATATAGTTCATCTTTAACAGGTTTCGTGGGTCACCGGTAGGAAAGAGAACACTTGTGTGTAGCATTCGAGTTCCGGGTAATTTAAAATTAATATTAAGATATCGAAGAGCTGTACCCATAAACTGGTCCGCTTCGTTCGTTAGTGTAACAATAAGCAAACACAACAGGGGTCTAGGCTACAGTGTTAAACCTGGAAATCTAAAATCAACTTCTTCAAGCAAGTGGTTTGATTGATGCAATACAAACACATCGACGAACATAATATTGCAGTTGCTTATGCAACCATGGCTGATCGTGGGTCCCCGTCAGGGTTAAAACAGTTAAAAAGCATGTTTGCTGGAAGGGGGAGTATCAAGTGACCTTGTAGGTTTAACTATCAAATCAGTCTTGGAATACAGAATGTTTATAGAACGACAGCTTAAATAAAATCCACCCTTCCCTTCATTCAAATACAAAGATCATTGATATCTATATCATTGAAGCTATTTCCACATACCAACAACAGTACCCTTTTGATGTCTGGATGTAATTTTCATATCATTAATGATATAAGCCTCATTTGCTCAGGTTTTCAAGTAATTGAACTTGGTCATTAGCTGATAATAAAACCCTCTTTTCATTGATCAGCCTCCAGAAGATAAATGTCTTTGATGTGAGTAATTATGGGATAACTATCACAATCTGTTTTGAAGGCATGAAAAGAATCTTCATTCTGGAAGTTGAATAGGGTACCAGGCTGTTCTGTTTCCGACTACTAATTGGTCTGTTTTATACAAAGCCATAATATTATGAAGCTACAAATGATATACACACGTTCCAATTCTTTCCGGTCCATTAGCTTCAGGCTATGAAAATGGAAAAAAACATCGAACGCTTTGTTGGTTTCTTCGGTAAGATAGAGACTGTTACAATTATTAAATCGGCTTCAAAATTATTTACTGGAAATATTTAAAGCTGTCCTTTTGAAAGCGATATGTAATTGATTAGGTCTACCTAATTTCGTATCATAACCTCTACAAAAGAGGAATTGTTAAAAAATAAAAAAATAAAGTTTTGAATGCATGCATTTGCAATGGTGACTCCTTTACATTCGTTTAGTGCTTCACTCCTTAAAATTATGTTCTTAAGTATACAAATTAGCCTGTAACTAAGAGAAATTTTGGTGAGACCTTGTAAAGCGGATAGTGATATTATTGAAATACTATCTGTTCTGGGTCTATCTGTGATCGGTGAGTATCATGATCATTACGGTTGGTGAACCATTACCACGGGGTTAAATCTCATTGTCATAGATATTTTAAGATATATTTTTAAGATATTCGACGCAAATACTCGTAGTCTGATGGTATCATCTACGGTTTGACTTTACGGATTTAGCCTATTATAAGATTGTATAACCTTACGTCGTGCAATTTTATAACTTTAAGACTTTACATCATAGTCTCAGACTGAAGAATTAGTATTAAATCCCATGTGAAGCACTCTGAAATTGAACTGCTTTCGTATTAGGCTCACGTACAGATCTGAGGTTGTCTGTCCTTGTCAATTTTATAATTCTTCTTTAGGCTAGTCTTGTAGTGTAATTGTCATATATAAATCTGATAATCTGACAATATCTTCGTGTATTGAAGCTCAAATGAAATATATTATAGACTCTCGTCATATTTATCTAGTTTACAATAACAACTGACTGGTATGTCGATTTTTCACTCAAAGATTTGACATATAATGTAATGTTCTATAATATTATTGCAACTTAGAGAAAATGTTGACAGTTTTTCTGTAATCCTATTGGATTGTATACAGACAAAATCTGGTATAACACAAAACATTCCGATTTTCAAATGATTTTGCACCTAATCCCTTGCTCGCTGTTTGTGACACTCACAGACCTCAAGTCATACATACTCATATCATATCATACTGTCTGGAGATACAAACATCGCGAACAACAGGATAGTCCCTGACTCGTTGGGATTTTTTTTAATTCTACTTTATTTTATTCAATTGTACACAAATCCAAATGAATGAAGCTGATGGTTGGACAAAAATGTTGTTTTTTATCAGCTTTTATACATTGCTGTATTATAATACCTTTGTTGTTAAGTATTAATGACCATATACTTAAAGACGCAGTAATGATGTATATAATCTTTGTCGACGCAAGAATGATATATAAAATCTTAGGGACGCTGTAATGATCTACAAAAGTTTAGGGACGCAACAATGATCTATAAAATCTAAGGGTCAATAATGATCTATAAAATTTAAAAGACGCAATAATGATCTACAAAATTTAGAGACGCAATAATGATCTACAAAATTTTAGGGACGCAATAATGATCTATAAAATCTTAGGGACGCAATAATGATCTACACAATTTTAGAGACGCAATAATGATCTACAAAATTTAGAGACGCAATAATGATCTACAAAATTTTAGGGACGCAATAATGATCTATGAAATCTTGGAGATGCAGTGATGATCTACAAAATTTTAGAGACGCAATAATGATCTACAGAATTTTAGAGACGCAATAATGCTTTATAAAATCTTAATAAGACGCAATAATGGTCTATAAAATCTTAAAGACGCAATAATGATATACAAAATTTTAGAGACGCAATAATGATATACAAAATTTTAGAGACGCAATAATGATCTACAAAATATTTGGGACGCAATAATGATTTATATAATCTTAGAGACGCAATAATGATCTATAAAATCTTAAAAACGCAATAATGATCTATAAAATCTTAGAGACGCAATAATGATCTATAAAATCTTAAAAACGCAATAATGATCTATAAAATCTTAGAGAGGCAATATTGATCTATAAAATTTTAGAGACGCAATAATGATCTATAAAATCTAAAAGACACAATAATGATCTATAAAATCTTAGAGATTGAGATTGGGAAAATGAAATTGAATTGTTATCAATCTGTTGTACTCAGTTCTGCTAATATAACTCGTGTTTAAAAAGGTCAACAATGGTGTTGGCAGGCCTGAAGTACACTTTAAACTTCCACTGTTATTCCTATTGGATGCCGTTTGCAATCATTTTTACGATAATATTGTACCAAATTAGTTCTGGTAATTTGATCTATTCATCAATTCTGAAATACAAGTCGACACAGTTTTTATCATTTGGTTGACATGAAACCATATATATCCCATTTAATTAAAAGGTTCTGTTTGAAGCTTTTTCATTAGCCCAAATGGTGCAGAAAAGTAGGACGTAAAAACTCCATTCATTTCATTTCATTTGAAGTTTTGACGAAATTTATATTTCACATTGGTTTAGATAATTATACCTGACCAAATCCTTAATGTCATAGGTCTCTGTAGCCGAAGTGGGAAAAAGCTGACACAAATGGATGAAAAATTCCTACAAATGTCTTACTAACATCTCACCCCTTACCTTGATAAATCAGTAAGTCGTTTTATTTTGTGGATTCGTTTTTTCAGAAACGTGTCTGTTTTAATTTGATCAGAAAATAAAGTCCAATGCTTATTTTGGAGTAGATATTATTAAAATATCCTAGAATTCTGTATTCTAATCGTTCATTCAACTCAATGGTACATCCCGCTTTGCATGTTTAAAATCTCGAAGGTAGATAGTCATGCAGATCAACTCAAGCAATTCAAGTCGAAAAATGCATCGACATCTGTGTGTAGTGTATCAAGGCAGTAAGCGCAATGCAAAAAGATGTGTCCCTTCTGAAGACCCTAGCTACGCTTGCGAAGTTGTTCTTCATAATGTCAAGCTGTTACAAATGTCTTATACCTTGACTGCAATAGTCACCTATCTTGTATCATAGTATGCAGCGATTTCATTGGATTGTACGGTAGCGAATACTATCAATCAGAGGCCTCGACAGAATGTCTGTAAACGTTGTGGCTGTGTGTTCACAGACTTTCAACCTTCTGTGACACAAGATAGGTGGCTATTGCAATCAAGGTATAAGAAGTAGTTCATAATAGCTTTGTAAAGATGATTCCAAACAGACTACGTACATTAAACTTAAACTAGAAATCCAAGATTCCGTATTAAAAATGACTAGGTCCTTTTACTATATTGGTGTTGCAGTATAGACATCGGAAGCAAATAATTAATACCTAACTTCCTTGAGTGACAACTTAATTACTGTGATATTAGATTTCTTACCACGAGCATGTGTCATCGAGAATATATAAGCACTATCGTACTTGTTGCTCATGTAATACATAAACATGGAATATCAGTGACTACAAAAATCTGAAGTTGCAGACTATGCTTATGAATTATTCATTTTCATCAAATTGTGTTTTGGGTGCTTTTTAGTCGTATTTCTCTTACAATTAGTTAATGTACATCAGGGTTTTCATTTCATTAGAAACGATGAAAATTGTGATGATGTATTTTGGTTCTGAGATATGTTTGTTGACAGTAACGGCAGAAATACAGCTTAAATAAATAACATGAAATACACACTTACCCCCATAATCATTGCCAATTTTCTCAACAAGCATTTCTTCAATATCATGATTTGATGGAATATAAATATGAAAATCGTACTTCAACTTGAAATTTTTACTGTAGGCCACAAATGCCGCAGCTGCAAGAAAGCAGAATCTGGGAGTGACGTCACCATGGCCGTTGCCGTCATAGATAACTTTAACTTGTTTCCATTGAAATTCTTGAACCATGTCTATCATACACATAGCTAGAGAATTAAACGTCACCCCTACTCGGGTCAGTGAGGGATACTCAGCATCTGGGAGTCTTTTGTTGGCCCCAAAATCATGAGCAAGTCCACCGGGTGATATAACCGGTATGTTCCAGAACGGTGCATACCTTGCAACAGGCGCCAAACTATAGTCACACACCGGACCAAAAAACACATTCACTTCATTTTTCATGTAAAAATTAAAGGCGGCAATAGGCGCATCCTTAGATGTGCAACGCGAATTTGCATAATTGACTGAAATATCAACAGTGGGTAGTAAAGTTGATTTAATTTTGTCTGTAGTATATCGTAATACAGGCTGCACATTATGGATAGAAAACATTCGGGCATCATGTTGTGGCAATATAGCCGCTATGTTCACATCATATCTTTTACTCACACTATGGTTAATGTACACCAGCACAATGCTAAGACAATAATAATTCCACATTGTTATCCTAAAACAAAAAATCCAAATAATCCTTAATCCTTCGTTAATAGAATCCAAATCTATTCACTTGGTATTGGGACTATCTACAAAATAATATCGCCAATCGTTCATCTCTAACTATTTGAACACGAGAATCCAGAACACAGAAACCAGAAACATTGAATAGATAAAACGCTTCTTATTAATAAAACTAAGACAATGTGACATTTATTTGAATTCCTATAGTATAATAAAGTTTTCTCAAAACAAAACTTACTTTACATGTATCGGGCTTAATACAGCGTCACAATTTCACTTTCGGACAGACCGAAACTACTTTCATGACATTCAAAATGCGAATACTTACATAAAAGCGAACGACCATTCGTTGCCACCAAGAATCAAAAATCAGGTTTAATGGAAATTCCAAACTAAAGCTTTTTTAAGTGTAGAAAACAACAAGAATAGGCCAAAGCACACTAGAAATTAACAAATAAACAATATTATATCCAATGGTGTACGACACTTAGTACGAGAATCACAATCTTCCAGTCATTAGACCGATTCCGCTCAACACCTTCGATATATTGATGTATATATAATACAAAATTGTGACTAGAGAAGTCAATTATATTGGTTGAAAGTTATCAAAGCATCGATACCTATTGTAGTTTTCACACTGTATTAAAATCTCTAGCACTGATTTCACCCTTCTTCTTCAATTCACATTTTTATCTTTTCTGTGTTTCTTTGTCAATCAAGTTTTCTGTCGCTAATTATCAAGCGAAATCTCGATCACGTATATTCCTTATGTCGCTTGTTAAGGAATTCTTTCACGCGAGGCATGACGACGTTCACAGAATATGAAATTGTTTGAAAAGTTCATGAGCACAATTTTATTTGTCTCGAAGCCTCTAGATGAAACATTGATATTTACATAACCGTACATGAAAATCGTAATTACGGTTTGAGATAACCAACATCTGTTCAGTAAGTCTTAAAGTCATTCAGATTTTATTAGTATTTTCTAAGTTAGTTTAGAACATATCGATTGGTATCTTAGTAGCTTGTTTGTGGTTTTGATCCGAATAGAAACTCATAAATTTCAAACTGCTGTGCACATTTTAGACATTTCTGATACTACAGCGACATATACGGTGACAAGTTATATATTTTTTTCTAGATTTCCTGATGTCAAGTGTACTAAGTAGGAAGATACTTCAAAAACCGTCAGTGGTTTATGAAAATAAGAACGTATATCACCATTAGATATTCCTTCTACGCACTGCAAAAACGTGAAATTTATTTCATGATTATTGTCATTCCTTCATACATAAAATTCTATTATTATGATAAACGGTTTCAATCCATACATAATTTCACGTTACAGAACTGTTTTATTCCTTATCAAGTGTTGGAAGATGAAATTTATTGACATGAATAAGCGACTGGGGAGGTTTCCTTATACGTTGTAGACTTGTTATGGGGTCGTGCATGCCATTAATTCTTTAGTGTGCACCCCTGAGATTTAAATGAAAAAGCTTAAATTTGGCTCATAAGATAAATTATTTGGGCGGTTAAGAATTTGATCACTTAGAATTTGACCTCTGTCTAATTACCAATCCTCATCTGGAAATCTTTTTTTGAAAATGTCTATATTGGCTCATTAGCTTTCACAATAGATGATATTCCATTTCGCTAACTGATAAAGCACTGGCTAATGCGATCATAAATTCATTGATTCAACGTTATGATATACAGTTATAAAACTAAACGTATATTTCTTAGTGAGACGTATAATTATCACCGACTCGTTTATAATCAACGTTATACCATCATATTGTTAGCCGTCAGCACTGACAGTAGCTGGTCATCAAACAATAGAATAGGATTTCTAATTCCATATATAAACCACACGACAAACTCTGGTTGTTAAAGGAGCTGTGGTGGCTCAGTGATTTAGGTACTCCTCAAGGTTCAGGGTTCAATTCCCGCATAGGTCGAGATAATAGCTTCGGACTTATCACCCCAGTTTCCCTGGTCAATGATGCACGTCGGAGGGGCTGACATGGAAGAAGGGTCAAGTCGTTCGGATGGGACAAAATAAAACGAGGCCCGCGTGCTATATGCTGTGCACGTTAAAGATCCCTCGACAATTGGAAATCAAAAGCTGATGCCTCTGCACTGGCAAAATCCCCTCATGGCGTTACCAGTCTTCAATTAGCCAAATTAGGTGCAGAAGAGGAGAACGTAAAAATAAATTCATTTGATTTTTTTTCTGGAATGGAATGACTGATTGAAAGATATTTTAGACCACCGACACTTTCCTTTCCATCAATATAAAACATATTTACTTATTGATTCAGTGAAATATACTTTTTTGATTGACTGAAAATAACAATGGATTGAAATTTTATCTTTTATGGGCATTTTTTTTTACTTTTATCGAGTGTCTTAATGCCGGAAACCTATTGTAAGTTTACATTGTTCATCCAAGTAAATATTGGATTGTACATGTTGGCATTGTTTTAAAGCGTACACTATATTGTTCAGTCCCTTTCTGATTGTATGTAATAGCTGAAGTACCGAATGTAACTCACTGGAAATTCTTGTACATAATTTGAGCTTTAATTTCAAAACCATCAGACTAGAGCAGTTTTCAAGCTATTGTCGGACCAAATTCTAACAAGATAGGCATAATTGAAACTTAGAATGTTTAACTGATTTTGAAAAACTTGCTATATACATTTGTATATCAAAATTCGAAGATTTATTTGACAAAGAAGGTAGTCTAAAAGTCAAATAAAGGCTAAAAGTCGAATAAAGATATCTCCAAGATTATTTTGTGAAATAGACGAATTTCAATCGTATGTCTGATCCTCAAACGATGATCTGTATATGTCACCAGCTAGACTGAACTGATCGCCTCGAGCAAGATAAAAAATGTTTTTTTGTGACTTATGATTAGATATTCTTTAGCTTTGTCACAAATTTCATTAGAGTTGTCTTCTGTTTTTTTCCACGAAGTATTTTTGATGTATCACAAAGGTAAATATGAAATTTATTCTGACTGATCATTCTAAATGAACAGGTTCATAATACGATGTAAAGCTTGATGATTTCATATATCTTGCACTCATCAAACGAGACGAGTTAAGGTATACCTCTTCATCTCATCTGATAACGACACTCGTAAATTGCGCTGAAACGTTATATGCTTTGTCAATACTTATAAGTGTGCTAAGCAGCTATGACAGGTGTGTCGCCAGGCAGTCTAGACACCTGATACCACTTTTCATTTTGAAATACTTACTCACTAATGATTGACGTGAAAAAGTCATTAGCTGCTACCAACCTCTCGTCAAAATGATTTCGGGTTTCGTTTTGCGGTTCGGATCGTTAGTACTTGGGTTATTTACAACAATTCCAGTCTTATTTTTATAGCTTCAAACGCAGACAAAGCAGTGAATTCAGAATAAGGTTTAGTATTGCCGTTAAAATAAATTATTCTCATGGTCAGATCGGAGACTTTTGACCTAGTCCCCGATAAATAAAAATCGTGTGTTGATTTAAATTCATGAGCAGTTGGTTGGTTTTAATTAAAATACTGATTTCTTGTGGTTGTCAACCTACGAAACTTTGTTGAAAATGTAATCAATTAAATAAAAAAAAACTGCGTCATTATTTGAATATTGGATATGTTGGTGATTCCGGTTTCACATATTTGAATATGTCTATGTCTGCTTTTCAGAGACATTATGCAATAGAGGGGTTAACTCGAAAGACACTATTTCACTTTGCTAAAACAATCTTTTCGCGTGGGGTTGGGTCTCAGAGGATCTGCATTTATTCAATTCTAATCTACCTCGAAGAAGTTGTCTTGGAACTATTCTTAAACGAACTTGAAAGCCTAGTGTATGGCAAGCGTTCAAAGAAAGACTCACTGCTCATTATCCATAACTGACCTTCTTCCCGATCCCCCTTTGGAATGACGCCATATCTATTGTAATTGCTGTTAACAGTTTACATCTAGGACACAAAGGAGATTAATTTATCTTCTTCAAGACAATTTCTCTAAAAAAAAAAAGAAATTCGGAATTTTTCAGACTTTCGAGAAAATCAACTTTGAATTTTTAACCCTTATTTTCAAGAAGTAAATCGCATATGTTTTGGTTTGGGGAAAAGTTTGAAAATAGAAGTACTGTAGCAGCCACAGAGTTTACAATGTAGGATGCTGAAATTTGGAACATAACTTCACATGGGCGTGTACCTTTCGTATAAATTTAAACTTTATATCTCAGCCTGTCAAAGTTTTAGTCTTAACCCCACCGGGCTGGCACGGAATACCTTATATGACAGACAGAATTAAATTGATTTTTTCATTCGAGCGACTAAATCGTCGTGAGTAAACTCAAGGGCCACGAAATGAAGGTGAAAAGTGAATGTGATTTTCAAAATACACACGGAAGTATGCAATATCTAATCAGCATATCGAGTTGTTTGACAGAAACCTGCTGATTTAAGTGGTTAAAAGTAAACGTAATACCCATGCCTACTTTAACAGACAGATAACTATTACAGGAATGTCTGGAAATTCCCATGTGTCGTTCACAACAATAATTATCAACGACAACATAATGCTTTAATAAATCTAAAGTTAACATGAAGATTACATAGTCAATAACTTTATCTACATAATTACATTGTTTCAGTGCTTTAAATGAATTTCTATTGACGACCAAGATACAATCTCAATCTTCATCAGTTTTAATTTCTAAATAGATATAATTATCCACCTTCTGGTAATTTATCATTGTTCGGTTAAATCTCAAAGACTTAAGGCAAGAATGACCTTATGATTCTTGCGCAATCACAGATTCGAATGGAAAGTATATCTAAAATATATTAATATATATGATGCCTGAGTGCATAAACCAGGTTATAGAAGCCAAACCATTGTAGTCGATTCCATTGCGCGAAGACAGCTGTGCTGAATAAATATACCAAATGAACATTATAAG